AACGCAAACCTGATACTTGGGGGTGGGCACTCTTATGGCATGCAAGGGTTGAGGTGAAATCACTCTTGCCACTGATGCCTGTGCCCACTCCCAATGGTTGCTTGTAGACATTTAGGGTTTTGGGTTAGAGTTGGAGGGAGGGGAAACTGGTACCATGCCATCCTCTGCCCCTTCTTCCCCATTCTAACTGCATTATAGAACAACACGCATCAACAGCACATCTGAGGGTGTGTGTGTGTTTTGGGTGGGCGCTTTTTCACTCCCCCGTTCCCTGATTGCCATTTGGGGATGAAATTCAGAGGAGGGGTGGACTGTCGGTGGGGACCTGGGCTCAGGTATGGGCCGGCTCAGCCTAGTGAATGCCTGGTCCTCTGGCCCTGTAGAGTGGTGCGCCCTGGGGGCCCAGGCCTCTGTGTCCATGCCCGGATCTGCTTCAGCACGGTGGGTGCCGATGGGGCCTGTGAGCTCGTCGCTGCTGGCTGCCCCGGACTCTAGCAGGGGCTTACAGGGTTCCAGCCCAGGGCCCCGGCGCTTTGGGGGCCCCACCCCTGAATGCCATTTCATTTTTTTGTGTTGCTTCACAATGCAGATTTATTTCAACATAAGTGCATATCTCCAGAATTATTCTTTACAACACATCCTTTTCAACAATATCAGAATCTAGACTATATTTTGCCCATATAGGTGCAGTGAAATAAAAACTATCAGCTCTTTTTCGTCTGTAAGGAAACAGGTCCACCATGACTTAGATTTTACAAATCTCTACACTATTCTTTACATCAAAATTTATTTTTATGTAATATCAAATATCAAGCAAATTAGTGTTTGCAGATATCTAATCCTACTGAATAAAGAATAAAAACATATTTCACTGTGCTTCAAGTTTGTTATAATATTCTAATGATGCTATTATTTTATCTTTTTTCCCTCTGCATAAGAGTAGCTTTCAAAGAAATATCAGATTATGTGATGGATTTATTTATTGTTATTTACACAGGCAAACACATTGAGATTGGTCATGTATTTTGCAAGGAAGCCCAGACCTAAAGTGACCTGTTGCACATGTTTTTGGTCTGTGGGGAAAACTGGAGCACCTGGAGGAAATGCACATGAGAACAAGAAGAACAGGCAAACTCGAGACAGAAAGACCCCGGGTCCAAACCAGGGATTGAACCCAGGACCTTCTGGCTGTGAGACATCAGTGCTAACCACTGATCCATCATGCTGCCAGATGATCAGAAATAATTTTCTCTAGATTCACCTGGACTTGTATCAAAATAAAAAATAATAATCTGTAAATCTTTAGCACATTTGATATGAGAAAACACATTTTGATTTAACCATTTAATACATTTTTAATGTCAAAATATGCAGTTTTAATGCATATTACTTTCATCTTATTCCCTTTTAATTGTGGGTTTTGTGTGTATTATCTTACTATTAATTATAAAAATACAACAGGTTTCTATTGTTTGGGCCTGGAAAGTGGTGAAACTAACACTTGTTTGTTCACACTGTTACAACAGCTCACGTGTTCCCCTCATTACTACTGGATCCTGGCTCTGCTTCTGACACTAGATCACTTTATAAATAATTCTCAGCACAAATCTCACTTTTTCCAAAGCTTTCTGACCATCTTCTCAATTACAGAAATGTACTGAACCATCTCACTTTTCATAAAAAGCAGGTCTACATCATACTCTTCATTATATTAATTCTGATAATATTCAGTCAATGAAACCTGCACACACTGGACCTGTGGGCTCTGGATCAGGATGGTTCTGCATCTTGGTTCTGATTCTGAGAAACTACAAGACAGTTTCCCAGTTATGTGGTGCCGCATCATTTATATTATATAATGTTGTGTTACTGACTTGATAATTAAGTAACTTGAACGGTGGTTTGCAGACACAGTTCAACATGTTGCCTTACCCGTTCAATCGTCCTCAAACCACGACCTACTTTTCCTGAAAACGTTGCGAATTTAGCACATTTAGCTGCGTCGGTTTCCAGAGCTTTCCTCTTTTTTAGCTGTCTCCGCACCACGCTCGCTCTTCAAACACTACTGACTGCGTGCACTAATGTGTTGCGTCAGAGCGCAAAAAACAACAAAAAAAAGAAAGAAAAAAATACGAGAGCTGCCAATTAAAGTTGAGGGCAGCCCTGGGAGTAAGGCAAGCCATTGTATCATGTACAATACAGGGAAAGCCATAGAAGTGATCTGATCAATAACTAACAAGTTATACCGGCCCTTGCGGACAAACATCAGTCCGGCCCACCGGGAGAAGTCCAGATCATCCCAATTAGCCACGCCGGGCCTGAAGTCAATACCACAGGCATCACACAGACCATTGTCATGGAGTCCCATCACTGTTTTGTGGCGCTTGAGCACTGACAGTAAAACCAAAAGTTGTCAAATTAGCAAAAAAGTCATCCTCTTTAAATAAATTTACTAATTGAATAATTTTGGAARGACTTATAATGGTGAGTTTATTACAACGTACTGCTGGGACCAAACATAAATTAAGATCCTGTTGAAATTTTATTTCAATAAATGAAAAAGCATTGAAACCCCAACAAGTTAAATGTCTACAAATAACAACTTCATCAGAAAGACATCCATAAGTATTTCTCATTTTTAATTACGCTTCAATAAAGTGTAAACCATTTGAGAGGATGGAGTGGATGAAACCACAGGAAGAATGCATTGAATGAGTCCTACCTTGGCAACACGGGAAAAGCACACACAAACATCATGTTGGAGGTTGTTTTTCATGGGAGAAACAACCTCCAACATGATGTTGAAGATTTGGACAGGTGCAAAAAATGCTGTGGAAAAAAATAGTAACTAAAGAAAAATGCTAACACCTGCAGGCCAGTCCTTGAAGGAATGCATTGCAGCCTCAACTTGTCATGACAGATATTAAATTCCAAGGTTAATTAGCTGTGCCAAGCTGAATCTACAGGCTTTTATTTCTCACTTTAAAGCAGACGTGGATGTAAACTGTTTTATCATTTGATAAATACTCTGTTCCACTGTGAAAACACTTAAAAATACATATGTACACTTAGTGTACACAAACATTTTCAGCCTACAAAATATCAGATCTGGTCCCGGTTCTCTGATTTCCTCCCAGAGACCAAAACAATGCACATTAGGCTGAWTGGTAACTCTAAATTGTCCCTAGGTGTGAGTGAGAGAATAGTTCTTTGTCTCTATAGATTTGTGATGTGCAGGGTGTCCCCTCTCTCTCCCACAGTGGCTGCTGGACATGGACACCAGTGACCCTGTCACCCTAAAAGGAAGAAGCAGGTAAGAATGGATGGATGAAGGATGGGTTCTGCAGAAGCATATTCAGTTATTGATTCAAATCAGGTGTGTTGGAGCAGAAAAACATCTAAAACAT